GGGGGGGGGGGGGGGGGGGAGAACGAGGATGTTCTTATTGAGGGGCCTGTAACAAGGTCGACAGTCTGTGGCCCCTGAACCACATCTGGCCACAATGTCACGTCTGTCTCAGCAGAGCTGAGGAGCCATGATGGTGACTGCGTAACCTACAATGACAGAACACACTCGACTATCTGGTCCCCTACAGAAATCTGCTGACTCCTGGTCTCGGCACGTGGTAACACCGTCCACTGTCCTTGAGTGTAATCTCACCAGCAGAGAGACACCAAGTGTTCCTTTTTACTTTCTCATTGTTTTCTCATAAATAGCTGCTTCTCTTCCTTTCGATTCCTGAAGGAACCCTTACTCAGTGCCTCTATCCCTCTACTCTTTCCTGGACACCAATGCTTAGGATTAACTTGGAACCCCCAAGTTCACCCTGCTGAAGTATGCACCATGGCTCCCACTGTCCCCAGCAGGTAGCCTCTCCATCTGCTTAGCTTTCAAAGACCCTCTCTAACCTAGCCATTCACTACAGTCAAGCAAGGGCCTGCTGCTCCCAGCAGAACAAAGCTCTCCCAGAACGTCGCTTCCTGGGGCAGTGCTTCAGACCTGGGCCTGGCCTCCTCAGCCTCTTCCTACCTCATTTCCACCAGCATTTGAACGCTCAAGGCCTCTCATATTTCAGAATCTTCCTGGACCCCAAGCCCCGTCACAACTCAGCTCGTTATCCTCTCTTCCAGTTTATCAGGGAGAGATTTTTCTCAAAAAAAAAGGAGACATTCTGAAGACATTGTCTGTTCCCATCATCTTCATTTCCTCACCTCCCATTCATTCTTCACCCACAGCCATCTGGTTCTGACTTCCCACTAACAGTACTTCTGTCGGGATCACTCCCAATTCCGTGAACTCCACTAAGTGTCATTTCACCCTGTGGACTTCACCACTCTGCAAACATTCTTCCAGGGCCAGCAAGTGGCATGGTGGTTAAGGTGCCAGACTCCCACATGGCAAGCCACTGCTCGAATCCCAGACCTGCTTTGCTTTCTCTCTCTCTTGCTCGCTCGCTCTTGCTCTCGTTTTGTCTCCCTCTGGTAAGCATACGTGCCCTATAGCAAATTAATAATAATTAATTTAATTAATTAAAAAAAGAAAACACTCTTCCTTGGTTTCTTCAATAACCACACTTTCCTTCTACCATTCACTGTTCTTTTCTATTTTTACTTTTGCTATAACTAAGAGAGAGGGAGTGAGAACGAGTACTCTCCAAGGGTCCTGAAGCCATGATGCACCCAGCCTTGGCCAGCTCCAGGTCATGGACACACTCATGCCAGGCAGACCTTGGGAGGTCTCTGGGCATGAACCCAGAACCTTCTGATGTGTGTCAGCCTCACAGAGACGCATCTTACTGCTGCACCAGCCACCATCTGCCCCTGCCATCTAACTCTGATGGTTACCTCTACACCTTTGCTTTGCCACTCGACAGTGAGCTCCTTGAGGAAGGGACCAGATACCTGTGGATTTCTGATGTCAGCACACAGTATAGCATATGGTAGGGCCCTGGTCAATGTTAGCTGAAATAACTCGAGAATTTCCAATCGATTTTTTATTTTTACATAGTTTTCAGTGCTCCATATTATCCTAATTTTGTGAACATTTTGTTAATGACTATTATAAATATATGTTTGAGCAATCTACTAATGGATCTCCTGTGGACTGATTCTACTTCTTGTTTTTCTCTTGGTTTTTCTGTATGCCTAGTTATTTCTGAGTGAGTGCTGGATATCATATGTGAAAAACTACAGCAACATCTTAGGCTCTGCTTGCTGTTGCCTTCCTCCAGAGACAGTTCAGCTCCTCACAGGCAAGTCAACCAGAGACACTGGCAATCCCAGCTCTTCTTCATTCAGTCACTTGAAATGTTTCACACCAGCCCTGTGAGGGCTGGTTTAATTCTAGACTTCCCCTTACTCTGAAGGAATGGCCTTTCAGGATCCCCACAAAAAGCCTGAGAGTGTTCATCAGGGTCCTTCCAACATAGCCATTTCCATTTCTGTCCCCCCAGTCCTGTGAATCCATCAAGAGCTCTACCCAACTCTCAGTCTCACTTCCATCCAAACACGCTAGTCCTCTACCAACAGAAAGAGAGCTTCTTAATCACTCATTAATACCAGGTGATTTAGGGCTTAGCCCTCCCACTGCTACCAGATCTCCCCTTCCTTGACTGGAGGGACAAGGGGTTCTAAGTCCAGAGACATGAGTTCCAGTCTGCATAGTTACCAACTTAAATCCTATGTCCCTCAGGCTTCCTCTCTCAAAGCCCTTGTGAAATGCACCTGGATAAAAAATCTGAGTTTATTCCAGCTCTAAAAATGACTCAATTGTGAATGTCCCTGCTGACTCTATGTTAGATAATCCAGAATTATGCATTCTTCTGTAGCTCACCGATGCCTCACCCAGTGAATGATTGATTTCAACTTTCCATTTTTGTAAGCACATTAGAACAAATGGATTCAACTACAACACCATGGATCTAGGCTGAGGGGCAAAGTTGCTCAGCTTCTGGGATGGAGCCCATTTGTACTGAGAATCCTTACTATTTGTTGCCCTGGCTACTAAACTGTGCAAAGCTGACAGGGACCCACCTAATGCTAAGGCTGAAAATCAAAGAGAAAAGCCCAACCCAAATGAAGAGGGGTCACTGCAGCCAAATGCCATATGATAAACAAGAAGGAAAGCAGGCCTGGGTCGTAGCAAACAAGCTGCTCTTTTTAAAAGGACGTGGACTCTGTATCCAGCAGCAAGTCAAAGCAGGAAAGCGAGACCCTCTTTAGCTTTCAGCTTTTCCGAGGCTAAGATGCTATGCGGTCCTCAGCAGATGGCAATACCGGAAGATACCTACACCAGCATTCCACTTGTTTTCATCGTGGACAAAAGAACCACTGGTTGAAACAAAGCCCTACTTTCATAACTGCAGGGAAGACTGAACGAAGCGCCTTCACCACTCAGAATACTGTGCATGAACTTGCCGACTCCAGCCGAGTTCCTCACTGCTGAGCCTTGATGAGGCCCCCACCCCCAACCACAGAGCTCCCTCTTCTCTGCAGAAACAGAACCCAGATATTGGCGTCTCCCTCCCCTGCAGTATCTGGATCCACTGAAGAGCAGAAGAATCTACTCCAAAAGCCGCCTTGTAACCAACACTCCCAAAGGCGTCTGCACCCGGCCTCCCAACATCCCAGTACTCACCAGCTAGAAGCAACCCAACTCCACACAGCATCGTTCTCTAAGGGACCCCATGTGGAGTAGGAAAGGCACCTGCCAAGGACTTATGCTGGGCCCTAGCTCTGTCCCCTACCTGTCACTACACCCATTCAGACATCCCAGCTGCTCTGAGAATCTACTATGGGCCAGATATGTTGGGGGACATTAACAATATGCAGTGACTAAGACACACTGTGCCTGCCGTTACAGAGCCAGTGTTCAAAAAGCGCCTGTCCCCATATGCTACCTGAAGGTGCCAGGCTGAGTCACCTGAGGCTCCTCCTGACTTTACAGTACCACGGTCGCACCATGAGATATACGCTGTATGTTGGCACAGCCTCTCCGGGCCTCCGTTTCCACATCTATCATGCAAACAGATCGGACTAGAAAATGCCCCCTTACCTTATGCAGCCACAGCTGAAGGTTTCCGGAGTCGCTCTGCAGGGAGTCCTTCTGCTGAACGGCGGCCCAGCAGTACGAGTCCACGAAGGCGGCCTGCCGCCAGGAGAAGGAGCTCGGCGAGAAACAGCTTATCTGTGTACCTGGGAGACGGGAGAGATGGTTCCAATGAATGAAAACGCCAGTGCCTGGACGCTGCCCCCATCCTTCGCTCCCAGATGCCTAAGTCGGGAGCACCAGGACAGGTGGGGACATTAGTAAGGACAAAACTCAAAACAAATGCTTGCGTTCATACTGAAGAGGAGGAGTAGAGAGGCATTTTTGGCCAGCCCTGGTCATGACAGCAGCTTGGGCTCGGATGGGAGAACTCCTGAAAGAAGTGAAAGCACCATGCAAAGTAACGACAGGAGAAAAACCGGAACTGAGACTGTCTGAGGTCCACGCAGACAGAGCTGGTTTCAGTCCAGGGTAGGGTGGAGGAAGGTAGGGTGGAGGAAGGGCTGGGTGGAGGTGGGGGACGAGGTTGAGGAGGTGAGCCAATGAGGAAACCTGGGCTGAGCAGCCCTCTCAGAACAAAGACACCAGGAACTTCTAGTCTACAGACAATGCTGAGGGACGGGACGTTTGCCAACAGAGCACTGGACGGCGAGTCAGCAATTCCTCACCCCTTAGAGAAGAAACAGGCCAAACTGCACCCAGGGTTGACATCAGGAAAGCGAATGCTTAACTCGAGATGACAAACCTCCACCAGGAGATAGGCACTGGATAGAAAATGGGAAGACCTGGGTCCCATTTGGGGCTTTGTCATTAGCTTGCCCCCCCCCCCGCTTTTTTTCCATAGGGCATGTGCACTTGCCAAAGAGAGGGAAAGTGAGAAATCACTTTTCCCTGCCCAAGGATGGCCAAGCTGCAATCCCTGCCCCTCTTGAGATTTGGGCATACACTCCTGGTGTGATTTTAAGCCCTCGGGTCCAGGACTCAAACTGCGGTGTCATCCAGTACCTTAACCAGCATGCCACCTGCTGGGCCCACTAGCTCACTCTTCAGGGAAGGGATGCTGGGACTAGAATTGCCCCAGCTAACCAAAGACTGGCTCCCTGTTGAGGCTTCACTGGTCCGTGCTCAGGATTCCCAGGGGCCACTGTGCGGCTCAGGGCTGACACTGAGTCCTCCCTCCTACAAGCAGACAACATGGTGGACAAAGTCTCCCTAGCAGCCCCTGACCCCATGAAGCACAAGTGGGGTGTGTACAGGGGTGTGTGTCACAGGCACAGGGACCAGCTGCTGAGGCCCCACAGCAGACACACTCCCTGCCTCCCACAGCCTGTACAGCATGGGAGTGTGTGAAGTGCCTGGTCTCTGACATGAGCTGCATTCAAACTGACTCTGCCACCCCTAGCTGGGTGACTCACAGCTGCAAGTCATTTGACATTCCAGAGACCAGGCTCTCCAAAAATAGGGCTGCCATTCATACCTACACTACAGACGTACTGTGGTGGTAAACAAAAAAGGTGGTTGCTCCGGCGCCCACTACAGCGTCTGCTTGCTCGAGGTGCATCACATCTTTCCAGATGAAGTTAAGAGCGAATCCTCTATTGTGTCAAAGAGGGGGGCATGCCCGCTCTTCTCCATTCCTGCCCCATGGGGAGGGCATGCCAACAGTGGAAAGACACTAAGCTAGAATTCCCTAATCCCCGGCACTAAACAGGTTTCCAAGGGTCACCTTCCCCTGGAGAGGGGGTGGCCCTGACACTTGCGGTAGGAGAGGGAAATGATGGGGGTGTTGTGGTGTCAGGAGAGTAGATTCTTATGGCATCAGGGGGTGCGTGGGCAAGGCTCTGAACAACCTTCCTCTGCATCAGGCGCCTTTATACCCACAGAAATCAAGGACTTCTCGGCGAGAGCCCTTAGAGAAGATCTCAAAAAGATACAAACACCAGGGGAACCAGCAGTTGGCGTAATGGCTATGTCGCTGGACTCCCACATAGTCGACCGCGGTTCATGTCCCGGACCCGGTGGCTTAAAACTCACGCCGGGCGTGTGTGCGTGCGTGCCCAAGATCCCGAGAGGAGAATGGAGGAGAAGGGATTGCGGCGTGACCATCCCCCCTGGGGGGTGATTTCTCGCTTTCTGTCTCTATGTCTCTCTCTGTCTGTCTGGCGAGCGCACGCGCCCTACAGTGAAAATCTCTAAAAAAAAAAAAAGATACAAACACCAGAAAGTCTTCTGAAATGTGACTTGGGGACAAGTAAGATACTTCACTGTCCCTTCTAATTCTCTTACCCCCTTAAACTTGAGTTCTTCCATTTTATGAGAAACAGATTCATCAGGATGGCACAAGGCCTCGGGGCTCACCTATGCCAACTACTTAGCAGGGCTATGAGAGAACGGAAGTTACACAAGAGGACGAGCAGTCTGGGGGCTGTCAACGGACTTCTGCTACGGTCACTGGTGAGCCACTTGTTTGGGAACATCGGTCCAAACACTCATGTAAATGAACAATGCTATTAGGACGTCATGAAAGCCTGCCTGATCCAGAATGTTCCTTAGGTGAAGTCCTTGTAGTGTACGTACCCAACACTTATTGACATTCTCTTCCTTAAAAAAGAACAAAAACAAAAACAACGCTTCAAGTTCTACCTTGGAATCTCAGGGATCTCTCTCTAGGCAGTGGCAGAAACTCCTGGAACCGACACACTGGGTCGTCAGAAAAGTCATGATTTTTTTTTTCTACATTTTTCTATGCAAAAATGCTTCCTGACTTTTCCACTGACCCAATAAGTAAATTTCTTATTCTGAAGTTTTGTGGGATTAGTTTGTTTGTTTTTGTTTTTGGCTATAGGGTGCATGCACTTGCTGGAGAGACTGTGAGAGGGAAAGTGAGAAGTCACCCCCCAGGGAAGATTGCCATGCCACCATTCCTTCTCCAATCTCTTCCTGGGACTTGGGGCATGCATGCCCAGCATGGGTTTCAGCCCAAACCACAATCAGCCCTGTGGGAGCCCAGTACTGTCACCACACCACCTGCTGGCCTCTAGTCTAACACATCTCAGAAAGGAAGGAGGAAACCATCACATAGTCTAGACAGAGACTGCGGACATGTTCTTTCAGGAGAAAGGACAGCAGGTGGCCTGTACTCACCGGACAGCCCTTTCAAACACCTGCTCTTTTAAGACTCACAACCAAACAGAGAGAGAAACCGTGTGTTCCTCTGACCCCAGAGGAGCTGAAGCTTAGAGCCCGGTAACCCCTGCCCAAGCCGGAAATGGCAGCAGCAGAATGTGAGCCTGTATCCAACCCAGGCTTTTTCAGCCCCTCTGGGCCAGTCCCTCCAACAAGGCCTCACTCAGGGAGGTTCTGGGGACACGGCTTTGTCAGGATGGAGAGGTCAGAGCAGGTGGTTCCTCCAGGTGGCCAGAAAAAGCAGAGCTTCCTGGAAAAGGTCAAGCACAATCCAGGAAGAGAAAAAGATCAAGCCCAGGTCCTGGGTTCCCCAGAACAGACACAGGGAGCAAAGTAATGGGGGCCACGAGCCCGGCAGGGGGTGCAGAGGGACCTGCACAGAGGCGTCTCCCTCAAAGGCACCGGGGCCTTGTGGTCAGCTGCTGTGGGCAGCTGGGGACCCGGGCAGACCTGACTCACTTTGCCAAGTGTGCTTCCGCCCTCCCATCTCGCTCTTCAGAACCGCACTGGCGGCGGGCAGGTCCGTGTTTGTGCGCTGTCCTGGGAGTCTTCCAGGAAGGAGAGCTTCATCTCTCCCGTCTCCCCTTCCGAACTGTTGCCAACGAGTCACCCGAAAGCTAGCTCTGGTCCTGATACTCCGCTGCCTGGACATTTCTCACGGCTTCCCCACCAACCGGGGTCTAAATCTAAGCCGATACTCCATTTGAATTCAATGGCTTTGGCGAGTTCAGGCCCGGTGCACCCCCAGATCTGTGTCTCTCCTCACGCTCTCCCGCTGCCTGGGGCCATCTCTACCGCCCATTGGTTAAGTCCATGGCCATCTACACCATGTGTCTTTCAAAACCAGCTCAGACACCGCCCTCCCTACGAGGCTTCCTCCCCAGGGACCTCCCACAGCACCTAAGTCCACACCGCCGTGCAGAAAGGCGCTGTTACTGTGAAGTACAAATGCCCACGGGGCTCATCTCCTCTAGTAAGAAGTCGAGTCTTTGCAGCAGGAAATGCTCTGTCCTTCTCAACCTCACACAAGGCCCTCTATGAATAAATAAAATCTGTCTGGAGCTTTAAGTTTCAAAGTGCTGTCATAAATACTGTCTCAATTAATGTTCAAGTGTCCCTTTAGGATATCGCTATTCTGGGGCCAGCAGGTGGCACGGTAGTTACAGTGCTGGACTCCCACATGGCCAACCATAGTTCGAGTCCCAGACCTGGCAGCTTGCTTTCTCCCCTTCTCACTTCTCTCTCCACCCACCCCAGTAAGTTCATGTGCCCTATAGCACATTTTAAAAAAATAATAAAATGAAATGATTATTTTTAAAAAATCACTGTTCCATTTGGGAGCTGAGGAAACACGGCCCCTGATATCCTGCAGCTCAGTCCCAGGCTCTGGTACCCTGTGTGTCGGCTGAAAAAATGCACCTGATCTCTGGGACAAGGCCTTAGTAAGACATGCACTGTTCTTCACAACTGTCCAAAAAAGAACAGTTGCAGGTCTACACCAGGGACAACTTCTGGTTGGCTGAGGCGGAGCTGTGGGCTTATGTTTATGTGTCTGGCCAAACACCATAAGAGACCCCAAGAAGGAACTGGGAACCCACTAGGCCCTCTGGAAGGAGTCACCACATCTGCTAAGCAAGGAACCTATACCACAGACATCCTCCCCACCGCCTGCTGGGTACCCCAGCCAGAAGCCCAGGGCGGGCCACCCCTTCTTCCTGAGGGGCCACCTCAGTGGCCCCTGTATGGCCTAGCGCTGAACCTATGGCCAATTCAGAACAGCCAGCCTAGAGAAAAAGGACCCAGGGCCGGAGACAGACAGCTGGAGGAGCTCAGTAACCTGACTGCCGCACATGCGCAGGAGAGACTCTGCCTCACTTTTGGTACCGCCCCCTTCCACCTGCACCTCAATAGCTATGAGGGCTGAGCAAGACCCACTGCCCTGACAAGCACATTCACGCTC